ATTTACCTTCATCTTGTCTCTGCTTTGCTATCAAAGCCACAGTCATACATAAATCCTTTCATCAGAAGAATGACCTCCAATGTTCAACCAGCTCTTAGCTAGCCCGGAAAGTTTGCTGCACAAACTATATCGTTTTTGTGTTTTGCTAAAGTCAAACAGCCAACGTAGTTCCCTCATGCCACTTCAATAGGCYGTGGGGCTGGCCTTTTAACCAGAGGACACGCAGGTGCACTGGAAGCCACTTTAGAAAAGGAGACAGTTTTGACAGATCAGGGAGAGGTTCATTAAAAATAACAGAGCTTGTTTGGCTCTGCAGATAGAGGATAAARGGAAGCAGATTTACAACCTCCTCATGCTTTTCACTAATTCCCTCTGAGTTTGTGGGTTTGAATGGCAAAACAAAACAACCAAAATAACACACTGTTGATAGAGTTCCACCCAGAGCTGTTAATCAGCACAAAATCATTCACCCAGACTCCTCACCCTGCTGGGCTGGAACTTCTGCTTTGTTGCAAAACAGCCGCCCAAGTTCCAGTTCGGACGGTTTCAGAGCTGTCTCCCTGTTGCTGCAGACGAGCCCTAGTTTGCCCCAAAGTTCCCAGCTTCAGGATCCCCGTGGGTCCCTCAGATCTAAGCGTGAACTCTGCAGCTCCATCTTTCCCAGCTCAGACTTAAGGGAGTCAGTGCCAACAGGGAAGGAAATATCACAGCCAGGCCACTGGGTGCATGGATGTGGGAAGCACAGAATAATCTGAGTGGTACAAAGGTTTGCAGACTGGACACAAAGCATAACTCTACCAAAAGAGGAACTCCATCTGACACAAAAACACACCCTCCCAGCTGCTTCTCCTAAAGAAACCTCCTGCCTCTGTATGCAATGGGAGCAACTCTGAAGGAAAGAACAACTTGAGGACTAGCAAGCAGTTTTGTAACAGCAATGTGCTTGCTAATCCAGTGAAAGCTGTAATCTGCTAAAAGTGCAGAGACAAGCAGCTCAAAGACCTTTGCAAACAGATGGGGAAAGGAAAAAACACACAATTTGACTTCCTTGTTGAAGGATGCAACTCTACAGGAAAAAAAGACTTTGGGCACACTATGCTGACCCAAGTCCCAAGAAAATGAGTGGTAGTTACACCGCTCGTGCAATCAAGGAAACACCTGCAGCTTCTCCTGCACTTCAGCTTCTCTATCCCTTTGCACCTTGCGTTGCCACTTCTGCTCAGGCAATGTGGAGATTAAAATAAAAGCTTTCATGCTAAGATCTGTGGCCAGATATGGGACACGAGCATTAGGCACATGGAGATGACTGGGTTGTGTGGGGCAGGAGAACCCCAGAGCCGTTCCCTGGCAGGAAAAGCACAGCAAGGGCACTGCTTCAACAAGCTTAGTCAACTGAAGGCCCGACTCTGCCATCATTACTGATCCAACCAGCATCTCAATCAATAAATGGCATCACTGGCTGTAAAGGTAACACCATGAAGCCAAATCAATATTAAAAACTTCTGTTTGGGGACATGTCAGCTATTTACCAGTGTTCTTTACTGCTGTGCTGTAGGGCTTAAATTAACCTTCAGGTTCAGCCATCTGAAAGTCATCTGCTACACGGCATGCAAGGAAATAGACATTTGTCAAGTTCTCCCACTCCTTTTGCAGACTCAGAATATGCAGATACTTGGCATAATGTCTGGCTGACGATTTGAGCTTACTGCTGATACCAACAGCAAAGATTTGAGCAGTAGTCCAGGGATAAACGGGAGAAGCAGGAATGCAGTAAGAACTAGAAGAAACCACAAAGAGAAAATCAAGATTGTGCTTTCTGTCCACCCTGATATTTTCTTACAGTGCTTTTCCTATGTTCTAATTGCTACAGACAAGTGAACAGAGAATCAAGCCACGGCTGATTCCCTGCACTCAGGGAACAAACCAGAAAGGCAACTAGTCTTCCAGAAGGCAAGCCTGAGCATCCATGGAAACTGAGCAGCTCTGCCTCCTGTACATACTGCATATATCCTCAGCAGAGATGGGTCCAGCTCAAAACACCAGACTAAGGAGCAATTCTGATTTGACTCCAGCTTTGCCAGCTGGCTGGAATGATTAACCAGTAGCATATATAGCTATGAAAGCTAATGGGAGAGTAATTGAATCTCCCAKGCTGAAGTCATTGCCTTTGGGAGTAAATCATGATTTAAGACTCCCTTCTTCTTCCTCAAACCATCTTTCCATGTTTTGAAACCATCTGTGAAGTTAGAGATGTTGAAGTTAGATCTGTACTCTAAGGGCAATGCTGGGGAACACTGATAATAGATGTGCAAGGAGATGGAGAGGAGGAAAAAATAATCATGGACAGGAGGAGAGAAGCCCCCATCTCCTTCCACCACACTAAGTTTCTCATCAGAGCTGAGTAATGCGCAAAAAATGACTGTGGTTCAGCACACTGCTGCGCTCTGATTTGTTTTTTTTTGGCTTCTAATCAGATTAAAACAAACACGGGCCACTTAGAGAAGCAGGACTGGTCTATCAGCTTCAGTACCAGGCCTGGCCAGACACCTCGGTGTTAATGTTTSCATCCAGAAAACTCCAGCCCCTTCACTGGGGTAGTGGGGAATAACACAAGTGGCCATGAGCTGCTCCCATGACACTTTGTGTTGAAAGCCCTTGAGCCCAAAGGACACAGTCCCGCAAGTCACGGGGCAATTTCACCCCTAGGGGCTTGGGGGACTTGAAATTTGTGTCTTCTACTACCCCATGCAGAAGAGGCAGGAATTATGAATTTACAAGCAGATTGAGAAGACATTAAAGAAAGCATTCGAAACATACTGTCCCTTCCAGCACTGCTGCCTCATCGACTCTCCATCTGTTCCCAGAAAAAGAAAATCCCATCTTCCTGCTCTCTATAAACTCACTCTGTCGCTGCTCTGGTTTCTCATGCACTACTACACTGCTTAACCCCCACTTCAGAGTCTAACACAGGCAGAGCCAGGGTGACCAGCTGGCTGGAGCTAAAGGAACGTTCTGGGTGACACTTTCTTGCAGGAGCTCTCCTGCCCTGTCCCTGCAGGGGACTAGTGCCACGGGGTGAAACAGCAACTCCCGAGCAACCTCTGCTCAGGCCTCTGCATGCACTAATGCAGCAGGGAAGCTCCCCTTTGGGGGAGAAGCAAGAGAATCAAATGGAGAGCCTTAGACCCACTTGGCAAAATTTTCCATTCCTTGCCCCACAATACAAGGACTAAACATATACTCAGGATCTCCCCATCTGTGTTTTCATAGACTTATTTTTGTTTCCTGTAGCCCTTGCCAGATAGAGTATTTCTATGCAGTCTTTCTATTGGGCTAGAGATCCAGCATCTTCACAGAATATTAACACCGTTTACATTTTTCCTGCTGTCAGCACCTTTAGTCCAGATTGTCACGCTTGGAAACGTTTTCTCTCAGCACGGTACTAGATGCCTGGACTGGAGGTCTGCAGTGGATATTTGTTTTGCAGCATGTGTTGCAGGACTAGAGTAAAGCCAGCTTTTCTTTTTCCCAATAGAAAGAAAACATAAAAGTAGTCATTTAAAGCCTTTCCTAATCTGGAAGAAGGACTAAGCTGTGAGMTTTTCTCTTTGAAATGCCTATATAGGCTACGCAGGCCGCAGTACTTGATGCTACGCCCACCTCAGTGCATAGACATGCCCTGCCTCGATGTCACTTGATGGCCAGGAGGCTGAGCTGGTTGGGGGGCAGGAGGGGAGGCYGTGCTGCCGTGTAGTTGTTGGCAGGGGCCAGGCAGCAGGCAAGGGCAAGCTGTGGGAGCTGCTTYCTGTGGCTCCCAATCATGCCTCGGAGTCACGGCTTCGTGGAGATGCTCTTTACCCAGACCCGCGACTCAAGCTGCCTCTGTCTGGCTGCAGGAAGACTTAAGTGCTCAGTTGCCTTCAGTCCAGATAAAACGTAGCCAAAGCACCGGATCAGATTCAGACCCGGTGTGAAATGGCTTAGCTCAAGCAACGTCCAAGGAACTGTGCCAGTTGCGCAGTGGGGCCAGCAGATTCTGCTTATAAGGCAGCAGGACTAGAACAAACTTGGGCATGACACATCCCAAAAGCTTCTCCGCTTTCTTCTTCAACAACGTAGACTTCTCACAGAGAATTAGTTCATAGAAGACACAGCGCAGTCAGGCTGAAAACAGCCCCTGCATGTTCAGCATGCAAGATACTTTGACACAAGCTCCATTCCTCCCCACTCTCCCKTTACTGGAAGGGCTCTGCTTCCCTGAAGATATGAGCAACCGTTGAATCACTGTGTCAGTATGTGTGTGATGTGCACCTGGCATGGAGACAAGCATCAGGTACAGAGAGYATTATGCGCAAAAGGGGTCCAGACAACTGTAAAGAGAAGAAATTTGTGACCATGAGAGTACTAGGACAGAAAAAAAGGGAAAAGGGAGAGACAGAAGAACCACTCCCCTGATGCTGCAGTCTAAGAAATAAAAAAATAGCCCAAAAGACTTGTCTTTCCTACTTCTTGGATGACAGAGATCGAGTCTTCTGTGACTTCTACTTTGACCTTCACCTTCCTGCCCACAAACAGGCTCCGTATCAGTCACCCCTGTGAGGCAAAAGTCTCTCGAGAGCTGGACATGTGAGCATCAGCCTTGATCACATCTAGCTCTTCTGCTTCAATGAAGAGCTCTCAAACCCTGCAGCACTTTTGCTTTAGAAAAGTAAAAATACCAAATCTTATCTCAGAACTCTCAAGTCTTTCAACCCAGGGATTTAATCTTGAGCCAAATGGTACCAAAAACCTTGTACCATCTCCTCTTTATGACAAAAAGGAAAACAAGTAAACATCTTCACCAGCATTTGTAGCTGTACCCTGTCTGCAGCAGCCCTAAGTCTACCTAGCATCCTCTTGGGAATCACTTTATTGTAAGGGATAGAAATAGATGCCATTTTGGTGCTCCAAGACAGAATTARGTCTCCTAATGACATGCTGCTTCCCCTCCCCATACTCACACTGACCAGCTTGGCTCAGCTCTTCAGGCCCAGTCGAGAGGGACGGGATTCTCTGCCGGCAATTCCAGCTTCTTCTCACAGGCAACTGTTACATAATCGTGCATACCTAGAGAAGGCAGAGGGAGGACAGCATGCCATCAGTGCCACGGCCCCAGTGTTCAATTGATATACRTGCACATATGTGTGTCTGTACCAAAAAGATGACTCTGTAGCAGAAATAAAGTTACTTTTAGACAAGCCAATTCCTTGCACTTACCACGCAGGAAGCACATTTAGTATAAACAGCGGTCTTAACATCCACATCACAGTATCCTCTATGCAAGAAATTTAAGGATGTCTCCAGGGAAGGCTGAAGCATCTGTTTTCCGGCCCCTTTCCCAGAGATTCCCCCCATAAGTAGCAGGGATGACTAAATACCACAATTACTCAGACCTTCCCAAAACCTACGCTCTGTTTACTGATGTAAATCACTGCTGGTTTCAGCTTAACGTGCTGGTTTGCAAGCTGCAGAAGCTGAGATGTGGATAGCACATCCCAGTCAGCTATCTCTGATGCATAAGTAGGCTTGCCCAAGAGGGAATCCAGGCTCAGAGCTAGAGGCAGGAAGAGGCACAAGAGAGAAGCCCCTTGCATGGGAAGGGGCTCTTGCCATGGCTTGGAAGCCATGGGGCAGAGTGCAGATGGGGAATAAGACACATATATTAGCTTGTCTTTGGGTGCGTTCTTTGGTTAGGGTATGTAACTACACAGACAGCCACTTTTTTTTTTTAAAATTGCCTTGGCAGTTACCACATGTGACTATAACTGCAAATATGTATTAAAGGTAAATGGTTAGATGGATTTGACAGATGACGGTGCAGCTTTGCTATTTCACTCAGGAATATTAACAGCAACCTGGCTTTAGAAAAGATGTCTCTGTACTTTGATTTATAAAGTAAATTCTGGCAACACTCAACTTTAATCATATCTTACATTCGGCTGAACTTATCAGCTAGTCACTCTGTCTCCCTGGTAGAGAGGAGGGAGAGCAGCTTCCAGAGGGCAAGTCAGTGTCCTCTCCACGCTGCCTTCCCTACATCTCTATTCATTAACTTTGGAAGAACTTGSGGAGGTCGACCAGGCAAGTCGCAGACCAAAAGATGCACAGGGACCTCACAGGGACTGAGGTGGCCAAGGAGGAGGAGAAACTAAGTGTCCCAAAAGGTGACTGACGGACACCCCTCTGAYACTGAGAGGTGTTGGAGCAGAGACTCTTCCCAGAATGCAGACAGTGGGTACAGACAGTCAGARTAMTGGGGCAGCCCGGGGCTGGCTGTGYGTGCCAAGCTAGAGGGGACAGCTCCCATATCCAAACTTCCCCCTCGGAAATATGTTCCACATCAATTCCTGAGGGACCATAAGATTTTCTGTTGTTGTTAACAAAAATAATGATAATCACAAAAGTACACAAAAAGGATTCAGTTCTGGACAAACTCCCACCACTGTGAGTAGCAAAATTCTCYTTCCTGTTAGCGGCAGCGAAGTCAGAGCATTAGAGGTCCTCCCTTTGCACCTGCCAGATATGCCCACTGCCAGTGTTTTCAGCATTTTCAAACTAGATTTTGTTAAACTTCTGCTGTTAAGAGGGTGATTTTCATGGTAACAGAAAAACCTGCTGGAGGAGACTGCTGGAAGGGCCTCCCCGAGCAAGGCRAGGCAAGGCAAGGTCAGCCAGCTCCGCGGCACTAACACGCAGCCAGGCTCCCTCCCAAACAGGCACCACAAACACACCCAGCAACGTAATCAYTGAGCGTTTTTGTCTAAAACCAAAACTGTTGTTTTAAAGGGGCACAGGGGAAAGAGATTTCCTGCAGTCTGAACTCAACTGCAGCAAAAGTAGAGGTGAGAAACAGGAGAAAATCCCAGAAAATGCCACACACGGCTCTGAGCCCAGGAACCGGGCATGCCAATCCAAAGAAACCCAAGTTTCACATTGTCTTCAAGACAAAAACATTAAGAGCCTGACCCTGCTGGACTTGATCGTTGTTTATACGGCACCCTGTGCTTTGGGCACTGAGCTGCAAAATCAAAGCGAGCGCTGCGGCAAGGAAAACAATCAGACACCTCGGCGGTGGGCCCAGCTTTACCACTGAAAAGCAAAAGGCTGAAAAGAGAAAAACAAACAGAACATTCAGATCCAAAGGCCAGGTCTACAGCTGTTTGGAAAACAAAACTTTAAGCAGCTCTTTAGGACTAGCCAGATAATGCTGTTTTGCTGTTGTCCACATAGGAACAGGCAGCCCCTTTACCAAGGGGTCTAAATGGACAAGACAGACGAAGGGGAACCAGATGCATGCGAGAGAAGCAAAGTGAACCCAGCCACACAATGAGCAGTGCCAGGAAAAAACTACAGTTCCCAGCACGGTTGCTCTTTCCACTGCCCCATCCCGCCTCCAAGGCCAGAGGCGGACACCCATCCCTTGGGTCTGGCTGGAGACACTGGAGAAGTTTCCGCTGTAAAGGGCTTGTCACTGCCGCAGCTGCTGGAGGTTGTCTCTCCCACAGTGATAGGAGACACCTCCACRCGAGTGCTCCTCAGCCTACAACAGGCAGAATCCACCAAGTTGATTTACGCAGCCAGTGAAARTGACTGAGGATGATCCACATGCTTTTTGGGGGGCAAAACTACAAGCAGAGCTGTAACCATCAATAGCGGTGCAGCACCAAGCAGTGAGATGGAAGTGGAGAAGGCGGCAATGCCTTCAACCAGAGCAACTGCTTGCTRAATTGATGCTTATTCTTGGTCTCAGATTATGGACGTGTTCTTGAGCTCTGAAAGACCTAATACTATTGGCTCAGATAAGAACTTTTTATAAAATCCATTGATTGCTTTTCTCATCCGAGTCATTCTAGATTAATAAATATTGCATACATCACCATACTCAGTGCAGCAAAGAGGAACAACATTTTTGCTCATTACAAATAATACTACTACTGAGGATCAATCTGTTAATGATAAGATATCTCTACTGTTATTGGCTGTCAACTTCTGAATAGTTTTATTAGATTTTAAATCAAACAACAACCTATTCTTATGTGATCTAGATGTGCTGTCTAGAAACAGATGGTCAGTCAAGAGTGCTCAGTCCACAGCTATGGCCTGAAATGACCCATAGAATATTGTTTTATGCCTATAAGGAGAGTACAGGGAACARTAATATTATTACTAACACACATGTAAAGCCAAATTCTGCTCTCTGATGAAAGCATGTGATTCCTAGCAGTGTAAATGAAAGATGCACAACTATATTCCAGGACAGACCTTAATCTCTTTAAACTATTTTGCAATTTCTCCAGTATAAAAATGGATTCTTCTTATTGATAGACCTTTTGTCTTTGTGAGCTTATGTAAGCCACTAGCTCTGCTCCCTCACAGCTCAACATGACCTACAGAGTACGTGATCTCCAGACACAGACACAGATTACCCGGGATTCAAGTGTGTTGAGAAAACACTGTCAGCACAATCACAGATTAGCCCGAGCCTCACCCACAGATTTGGCTGCTGTCAAAAATCCCTTGTCAGGTTTGTCCAGCCCATGCTTTACCTGCCCAAATGAGTCAGCAASATCCTCCTGCCTCTTCTCCAGCACCAGAAGGTACCAGGACACACTGCTTGGAGACAGCTTATWCATAAATATATATACACTAACAGGGGATATGATAACATGGTCACTGCAATAAGCAGGGATGCAAAAGGCTGAAAGTAGAGGTCAGCACAGCTGAGCAGCAGCTCTCAGTCTAAYGCAAGAGTTTAAGAGCCTGTCTGCACATAAAGGGGAGGGGAAGGTGAACAAATGCAGCATTGATCTTCAAGAAACTTTTAATTGAGCACAAGACTGCATGAGAGTAATTCCATTTTAACTAGAGGAGAAAAAAAAATCATGACTCTACATCYCAGTTCCTGGACTCTTCTGCACCTCCCACTCACATATCAGGATTTTTGTGGACAGAAATAAACAGAACACAATATGTGCTACCAGTAAAAAAAATCAAAGTCACAGTATATCTTCATCCAGTCAGTGAAACAAGTTTGTACCAACACTGCTCCCCTTCAAATTTGGTCCTCAAGATGTAATTTCACTAATATACAGCTGTTTATCCCTGTGATTTGTTGCTCACTCTCTTGGAAGGGAAAAAAGAAAATAAAARGAGTCAGCAAGATGTAGAGGTAGAGAAGCAAGAACAACATTGCAGCAATTGCAGAGCTTAAGACGCATTCTCACTTGTCTCCATTTTCCATTAGCCAACATTGTCAGCTCGGCAGAGGTGACATATGACTTACCCCAGAGTAATGCTATCCAAAGAGAGAGGTTACTCTTGACTGACCCCAGCCCCAGGGAGATTAGTATCAACCCTTTCCCCTTTCCCGCCTCTTTCAGCACTTCTATATTTAACTGCAGATTAACTCATTTCCTCTTTCCCCATGTGAGATTAAAGTGCACCGAGCCCATCAGCTCAGGCAGAGCCTCAAGTGCATCCTCATGTAAACCACTGCTCATTCCATTTATTAAAGCATGTCAGAGAGGACAATGAGTCACGCTCCTCATACTCACAAAACTTAAATACTTGTATCTTAAGAAGCAGAGCTGGCAGGCAGCCCACAGCCCCAAAATAGTAAGAGATACCTCCAATTGTAGTCTCCCCTCGCCTGTTACATAAATCTTAAAGGCACATGAAGTGTCTGTACTTACAAACGGGTTTGAATGAAACGTGGGCCAGTGACCAAGGCAGAGGGTCAAACACACGGCAACTCRGCCTCAGGACACTCTGCTGATGGCACTTGGCTCCTTGGAAACACAACAGTCCTTCACACCACAGAGGAAAAACGTGCAGGAACATCCCACACCACCCACCTCAGTCRGCCCAAAGGGCTGGACATTCAGGGTGGAAATGCTGCAGTTCCTGCCCTTCTCTGCCCCTGCTGCCCGGGAGCACAGGGAGAGCAGGCTCAGCCCCGAGGGCTGCGGGAATCGCRGTGCTCCCGTCCGGCTCCAGCCTTAACAACACCCGCTACTGCTGGGGAAGGCAACAAGGGCCCCTTGCTCTCAAACCCCCTCTGAATCTCG